TCTTGCTCAGCTGTTAAAACTTTTCTTTTTTTGCCCATTAATTACTTTTTCAGGTCAAAAATGCTAACGTAATGTGAAATAGGAATAAATAGATTTCCAACAAAGTACAAATAAATGAACATTAGATTTCTGTGAGAAAGTTTAATTTTGTTTTCAAATAAACTGAATATAAATGAGTAAAATACAAGATGTCCTAAAAAAAAACAAAAAAACAAACTTGCAGTTACAAACCAACTTAGATTTAACAGTTGAATAACATAGAATCAAATATAGTCCTGGATTAGGATCTCCTAGCAAAATCAATAATTGATTCCAATCATGGAAGAGGGTTGATGGCCCTCATAGATGAGTTCATAATTTTTTTCTATATTTTCTGACATTTTGCTGATGACTGACTGACCTGATTTCACATTATCTTCTACTGACACTTGACTAGCTTTGAAATGCATGTACCCCTCAAAAGTCTGTATTCAACCAAAAGCCTGACAAAGAACTTTGTTTTAAAAGGTCTTTGCAAAGCTGCATAAAAACTTGTAAAGATTTGAAAAGCTGTTCCAACACAATGTTACAAAACCTGACAAATTATCTGCATCAAATAACATACCATATCTTGTATATGAGAAATTTTCAATAGCAATTAAAAGGTGAAAAAGGGGAGTCATATTATACACAAATGTTTTCAGAAATTTTTACTCAGCTTAAAAAAACTTTTATTTGAAACAGAAAGATTGCAAACACACTCAGTTAGCACAGTAGATAATAAAAATCAAAGAAAGTGGGTGTTGATAACAATTGTTTACAAAAAAAATTTGATATATTGGCAAGATTTGTTCTTTGGGAATCAGTGTAATAAAAATCAGTCTTTTGTCTTAAAGGCAGGAAATTCACTGAAATTGAATAAGAAAATTAATAAAGATCTGTCATTGTTTTGATATTAAAGCGGCGCCTTATCCTGAAAATCTAAATTAAGTTTTTAAATGGGAATTAGCTGAAGAAACATGCAATCTAGCATCATATACTTTTGTTAACAGAAATTGCTTGTAATGTAACTGACCAATCAGGAACATTAGAAAAAGTAAGTCAGTTGGAAAGTTTCCTTTCCAACAAACACTTAACATTTCACCTAATACATGGTGGAATTCAACTAATGACTAGATAAGACTACCCCCAGGACTCATAAATGAACATTTCAGAGGTGATTTCCATGTCATTTAAATGGCTCATTGACCTGCAAGTCATTCCACATTGAATACGGGTAAATCTTCTGACAGCAACCTGATCATCTGAATGTTTAGTTTTATTGTACCGACAGAGTCCACTTGCTAACCTATACACTGTTACAAATGCTGCATGAAAAGACTTGCCAGGTATTATATTGGTAGATGGGAGTGTTCACATTTGTTGCTGAAGAGGCATGTCTATTAAAGGTAGACAGGACCACATTCATCACATGAAAGGAACTACTTTTTCTGCCTCACAGGAAGAGGGTTAACAACATACTTATTATAAAACTCGGGTAGGTTGTGTGTGTGTGTGTGTGTCTGTACGTTTATATATTGGATCGGATTTCCTACATTTTTCAACCAATTTCAACAAAACTTCACAGGACTACGTAAAATTACCTTGCGATGGTTATGACAGTGCCAAAAATTGGAAAAACAATTGTTTTTGCACAAAATCAATTTGAAAACACAATCAAGAGGCACCGCAAGAATGAAAGGGGGGCAACTCATATCGAGTTATACTTATTATAAAACCCAGGTTGTTTGTGTGTGTGTGTGTGTGTGTGTGTTTGTTTATATATGGGATCAGATTTCCTACATTTTTCAACCGATTTCAACAAAACTTCACTTTTTTTTTTTTGGCAGGTAGTGTTTCTTATTGTCTTGCACACTTTTTTCTTTATTTTTACATTCAGAATGCTTTAAAAATTCCATTTACAAGACAATTGTTTATAATAAAATTCTATTCAATCGGTAGACTCATAACAATTGAAAACAATGTTTTTGTTTGAGTTTGGGTTTGACCAATTCGTAAAAAAAAAAAAAACAAAGCAAAACAAAAAAACTAATTAAGACATGCATGTCCGTCAACCTTAAACAATAATCTTTGTCAATTTTATTTTTCAGTCTTTATGATGATCGATACTTGATCTATCTCTTACTGTTACATCCCTGGGCAACACCGGACTCTACTGCTAGTCTTTGATATATCTACCAGCTAAGAGATGATGAAAGTTGACTTGTGGCTGAGTAAGATCACCCCCCCAGGATTCATAATGCCCAAATGAACATTTCAGGGATGATTTTCATATACCCCTGTAACATTCCAAAGAGTCCAAGAGGTTCCTGTGGATGAATTTTTTTGAGTGTATAGAATGTTGTACAATTGGCCATAGCATCAGTAACATAACAAAGGTTGAGACAACCAGGGACGAAATGAGTTTCAGGGATTCCTCATACCTTGTGGCTTAACCATGCTCAGGGACACCAACCCAGGTATTTCTATATCGCTACATATATATAATGGACTCTCCCGTTGGTTTCAGCGTATGAGGATCTGACAGCTTATCGATTGAGTTGTGAAAGTTTGTGCGATAATCTTAAGTGGCATTTAAAACCCGCTAGTGATTTACAAAGGAGGCCACATATGGAGTAAGTGTGAGGATTGTGAGATGAGATCACTTTTAGATTGGCTGACCTTTTAGTATATATATATATATATATATATATATAGATAGAGAGAGAGAGAGAGAGAGAAAAAAAAGCAAGCAAACAGTGAAGAAAGAAATAGCTTTCAAACACAGCTCCACAAATTGAAATAAATTTTATTATTGTGTATTTGTTTACTTTTGACTTGAAAGAAACGAATTACAAAGATCATCACAAAACATAGTTCCACAAAAATATTTTGTTTTTGTTTTTACAACAGAATTATTTGCATTAGTATAACAGAAAAGTCAGAATGTGCCTACTTAACAAGAATTTCATGTATTTAAGTTGTTTTATGAATGAGTGTAATTTTCCAGCAGACAGCAAATGAGAGCTGTGTTAATACCACTACTATTAATTTTGTTGACATAAATGTTTGGATGGTTTTCATGTTGCTTAATTTACTTAAAATTAAGAGGCTATTGCAAGAAGTTACTCAATAAAATATGCAAAAGGTTGAGTAATTAATTATACAAAATGTGTGAGTAATCAGTTTGTGCACAACTCTGGTCAAAGGTTTACTGAAAACTGAATACTAACTTTTGAATTTGCAAGATTGTATTTATAGAAAATAAATGGATCAAGACAGCTAAAAGTTAATTTACTAAACTTAGAAGTTTATTGATTAATATATATTTTTCCTACTTAAATATCTATTTTTAGGAGGAAAAATATTGTTGATCATTTTCTGAAGCGATCTGTCAAAGTTCATAGCAGACAACAAACAGGGTTGTTTGAAATTTCAAAGCCTAAAGAAAGATTGGTTAATAAATGCAAATGTGAGAGACAAACCCATGTGAAGAAAGTATGTTAGAATATGGAGAAGACATAATAAAGATCCTTATCAGATGTTGTAGATAGAATGTTATTTTTTGGCAGGGTGTACTAAAAGCTGTTAATGTTTTTTCTTATTTTACTAATCTTCACCCAATATGAGGCTCAAGAGCAACTCAAGGCAGAGGGTTACTGGATGAGGTTACTGCATGAGCATAAGAGAAGGAGGTAAGAATTGCAGTTTATGAGGATGTGTGGAAAAGATTACAGTTAAGCACAGACTTTGTTCATATGCTGCAGTGTGCTAGTAATATTTTTGTGATGATCAGCAATATCGAAACTCCTAAATGTAGACGTCTCTTCAACTCCAATAGCTTCATGTCTCGCACCTCTTGCCTGTGGAACTCCCTTCCCTATTCCAGTTTCCCTGAGAGCTATAATCGACATCTCCAGTTGCCTTGATCTATCCACTACCCTTCTCCTCATCCTTTCTTCTATCACTCCTATCTGATCTGGCTCCAAATTTTCTGTAACCCCTTGCATCCTAGTGGCTTCCCACCTTGCTTGGGGTGAAACACTTGAAAAAAAAAAAAAAATATATATATATATATATATATATATATATATATATATATATATATATATATATATGGGCCTGTTCTGAGGCTGACCACAGAGAATTGTGAGATCAGTGCACTTTCAATGTATTTTTGGTCAATTCTCTACAGTCAACCTCAGACCGGGCTGGAGAAAATGTCAGTGAAAAAGGAGAAATAAAAAAAATTTAAAAAAATTAAACATTTGTTATTAAAAAAAAAACATTATTTTGGTAATAAAAAAATATTGTTTAATGACAACATATGTTCATTATCTTAATTTCTGTCAGACAGGGAGCAAGAGAGGTTGATTTTGTTTTGTTTTCAACATTTACCTAAATATAAAACTATTTGTTTCCTGTAGGAAAAACTTAAAACAATAACAAAAAATAAACAAAAAAAAATAACAAAAAACTTAAAACAATAACAAAAACTTAAAACAATAAATATATGAGCAAAAAGCAATTTGCAAATGCAAATTGCTTTTTGCTCATATATTTATTCAAACAAGAACGATCAATAAAACAATCTCCGGTAGAGGTGACAGCCACAGCTGTTCGTCTTGAAAAGGTGTTTTAAATTTGAGATTGAGAACAGAATTACAACTTTACACTTGATGAATTAATGCATGCCTTTACAAGTGTAATAAATGCCAGTATAATAATGAATGAGAATTACAATATACAAGACACCTCCCCCATTTACATTTAGTGTTACAGCTAGGCTGTTAGGCTAGATTCAAGGCACCTAGGTAAGCATCCTCCTACCAGACTTCTCAACATTACATATAATACCGTCTTCCTAGTTATATTTAATAATGTGTAAATGAATATAACAAACCCAATGGGAACTGAAACTTGGCTCTCTGACTGACAATTCTGAGCCATTATGCATTACACCATCTACACATACCAGGTACTTACAGCACCTGGTATTCCCACGTAGTCACCCATCTAGGTACTGACTAAGTTCAATGTTGCTTAACTTTGGTAATTAGATGGAAACCAGTGTTTCAATGTGATATGGCCATAAGTCTGTGTTATGGTGTTGGGTTAATCCTATACATTTGCATAAAGAGTTCAGTTCAAAATTGAAATGCTCTTGATGAAGGCCAGAGTCACAATAGCTGAAACATTGTGATAACAACAACAAAGATGGAGATAATAGCCTGTAAAAAAAATAATAAAGATTTTTCTAACTTACAAATTTATAGAACTGGATGATGTCTTTTTATTTTATAATCAGTCCATGTTTACTGTATTCAGTTATGCTGATGACAAAAGATAAAAGATTTATTTGTTCACGGTAGGGGAGAGTGAGTCCAAGATAAGGTTTAGTACTATTTTGATACGTGCATACTAAAATACAAACATTTTCCATGTTTTTAATTTTTGTTGTTTGTGAATCAAAATAAACAAAGTAAATTCAATGTAAACAACCAAATAAAAGTCTTGCTTGCGGAAGGGTGGAGGTGAAATTGGGTAAAAGGGAAGGTAACACTATAAGAAGTACCCTACTGTGGTAGGCACAATTGCATATTTTAATCTTTTTCAAGAACTCTTCTGATGATAACCATATGCAGACCTGAAGCAAACTGTCACCACTCACCTATCTGGTACCTTACTTGGTACCCCACCTTAGTATTTGCTTAAAGTAAACCAGCTGCATGATTCATCCCCATAATATAGGCATAAGAGTACAACCAATTGAAAATACAGGCAGTGTTTCATTAAAATAGTAATCCCCCCCAAAATATTTTAGTACCGGTGTATAAAAATAAATTTCTATATAAGGACGTGGTTATCATGAAATTTCTTTGAAAGTACCATGGCATTCATGACATTTTGGATTTTGATACTGTCCTTCTCTGACTTACTTTAATTCATTCTAGAAGATTACTTCTGTGAATTACTTTCATTCAACTTTGATGAATCAGAAAAGCAGTTGTGATAATCGAACTGAAGTAAAAAAAAAAAAAAATAAATAAATAAAAAACTTACCAGCAACTGAGCCCGCCATGATGAATTTATGCTTCTGTTGGAAATAACTGGAAAATAAGAAAATAAAAATGTTTATAATTCTAAAAAACTTAAACTCATGGTTAACATCAGAATAGAGTAAAGTGTCCTATCTAATTAAAAAAAAAGAATGAAAAGAATCTCTCAGACACATCCTCTCTCTCTCTTTCATATTTAAGTATACACTCTGTTTATTTATTAAGAAGTATATTTATTTTTGTCTACCGACCTGAATGTTCAAGAAATTTTATTAAAAGGAAATATACACACTGCAGCAGGATATGAACCTGGGTCACTCTGGCCAGAGAGAACCATTGATAAATTTGACGCGCTTTAACCAACTCAGCTATGAAGAACCTTTGCTTGGCACAAAAAGATTTTTTAAAAAAGACCAAATAGAAACACTGATGATGTAGAAATACTAAATTATAAAACTGCTGCCTAGACACACAACTCAGTCAATCTCATAGTTTCCCAAAGATTTTTGTTTTTTTATGTTTTACTTATGCTTTGTAAGTTATTACAATGTAGCTATATAAGTTGGCCTCTAAAATTCTAAGGAGTTAATTCACTGGATAAATCAATCCCTAAAAATAAGGCAGCACTAATTTTATCAGGCAACCAAGTTCAGAGATTAAAATGGATTAATAAAACTCATTAGGACCAGGAGAGATTATCTTTAAAGAAGCTGTCCAAACAGATTAGTTAGCAACCTAATCTCAGTAGACCATTTGCTTATAGAATGAGTTTGATCCTTACTGGGTGCCCTATGTTTGTCCCCCACTACCAGCCAATACTATAAAACAGTGACTCCTAAAGTGAGCAGTACTGCCAGTGCCCACATGGGGTAAGTGGAAAAATTAGATGGGGAGGATACTGCGGCGTTGAGAGAAAAAAGTAGGCAGCCAGAGAGTGGCAGTGGGACATCTGAACCATAACACATGCACCCACTGTACTATATCATGCTTTCACTTTATAGTGCATCTCATTTATATAACAACTCAAAGGTTAAGAAGAAATTCGAGGCAACAGAGGTATTACTCTACAGAAGGATGTTAAAGATACCATGGACTGAACATTTGACCAACGATGAGGTTTTGGAGAGGATGCAAACAAAGAGAAAACTTATACATAATATCAGAAAGAAGCAGCTGGAATTTCTAGGGCAAGTAATGAGAAAGGAGGGTTTGGAAAATCTGATACTCACAGGGCAGAAAGAGGGACATGGGGAAAGCAACATGTGACATACTTAAGTGGATGGCAGAACAGGGTCTGGGACAAATAACAAAACTTATTGAGAACTACAAGGGACAGGAAGAAATAGAGAGCCATGAATGCCTATGTCCTGAAGGGTCAGGCACATAAAAAGAAGATTATGTGAAATACTAAGATACTCATTTGACATGCAATATGAGCACCAAAAAAATCCAATCAAACATTGACTATACATGGGGGGGGCGTCAGGGTTGTGTTTTGCTACACGAGGAAGTGGCAACCCTAAAAAGTTTGGGAGTCCCTGCTGCAAAGGTACAAAATACAAGCTGAAGATAGGCAGGAAAAATGTTTAACTCATGAAGCGGATTTGACTGATGGAAGACAGATCAATAATAAACATTTATTACTTTAAAGTTCCATATTATACACTGGGTTGGTGAAGTTTGTTATCATCCTCTCATGAGCAAAAGAAAAAAAAAAGTTTTAAATGAAAGCAGACCTTCACTACTCCTGTCTGAATTTATTTTTAAAGCTCTGACATTCAACTGGCGTGAACATCTATAAATGTTGAAAGAGGGTAAGTTCAGAGACAATGACATGAAAAGAATGTAAAGCATGCTGGCAAAATTTGGCCGGTTTGGTGAAGTAGAAGTCAGGCTGTCGTGTTACCAAGTCGATTAAAGGAATGAGTAGTTAGTGAAACAGAGCTTGAAAGATTCATGTCACATCAGCTTAAGTAGTGACAGCAAATAATGAGTTGTAAAAATGCTGATGCATTTTATAGTCATGGCTGAAGAAAAACTTGTTAGATCGATAAACGTAAATGGAGAGGAGGGGAGTTACAAAAAAAAAGGAATTCAAGTCACAAGGTAGAAAAAGAATCAGAAACTAAACAACTCAGACTAATAAATCCATCATTATTATCTGATCAATATGTTTCAGCCAAGGTGATCCTTATACCAGGCCTGGCAACCATGTGACTAAGGTCCATGACTAAGGGTGGACATATGGAGACCTAAATTACTACTGAATAACAATTACTGAGAACATATATAGGATCACTTTCCTAAAAACTTTCTAACCTTTCCTATCTCTAACAATGGGCCTAAATTAAAAAGTCCTACTAAAGAAAAAGTGTGCTTTTGAAAGAAAACAAGCCTGCATTCCTTTTTTTCATCAGGGAAATCACATTTTGAGCCAAAGTGGGCCTCTACCAGTTTGACCATGGAGACCAGCTTTGCAGAGTAAAATTGAAATTACCTATTTAAGTAAAGCACCCTTTTTTTTCTTGTTGGGACTTCTATGAATATATCTGCTAGCTTCAGTTTCCTGCTTGAAATGTAAACAACAGTAGATTTTTGAAAGGATTTTTTTTTTTATCTGACATTCACAAATTTTCTTTCATAGGACTTCTCAGTTTAGGCCAATTGTTATTAATTTCATTGTTTAAAGAAATAAAAAAAAAAAAAAAATAGAAACTGAAATATGTGTACCCTCTAAAAACAATGCTTATAGCAATAAAAAAATAACTTTCTTTGTATTTATCAGAGAATCATGATCTTGAACTTTATTCCAATGTTTTTTTGAGGTGCTGAATCCAATTTTGGCACTGAAAATATGCCAAAATTAAAGCTACATTGATTAAATGCAAAATTTAAACACTTTTCAAGAAATTTTGGCACTTCTCTGCAGACCAGGAATTCTAGACCTAAATTCCTATTTTTTTTTTTTTTAATTAGAAATCTTAAATAACATTAATACAATTCCATAATTTTTTTTCGATTGTTTGATTTAATACAATCATTCCTGTCAAACTGTGTCTTGAAGGTCGTTCTCAACGGATTCTCCTCCAGCTCCTATCCCATAAACGCAGGTGTTCTCCAAGGATCCATCCTAGGCCCTACTCTGTTCCGTATCTTCATCAACGATCTTCCCGACGTCATAGATTCCCAAGTAGGCATCTACGCGGATAACACTACAATTTACTCCTACCTCAAAAACAAATCTAGTGTTGCTGAAAAAACTAACCTGGCCATTTGTCTCAAAAAGGACCTCCAATTGGTTGTGAACTGGGGCAAAAATTGGCTGGTTAACTTTAATGCCTCAAAAACAAAACAGCTCTCTATTACTCACCACAGAGAACCATCTCTGCTCCACATTAGAATGTCTGATACTCAACTTCTCAAGAGCACCTCTTTGCGACTACTCAGTCTCACATTGACTGCCGAGATGGAACAAATACATTGAGTCAATAGCTTCGTCCACCACAAGGAAAGTTGGCTCCCTGTGCCATGCCAGGAAATTTTTCTCACTGTAGTTGATCTTTCAAATATACAAATCAACCATTTGCTTTTGCATGGAGTATTGCTGCCATATATGGTCTGGAGCCCCTTCTGTTTGTCTCCAGGTTCTTGATAAAATCCAGAGATGGATATGCAATGTAATTGGCCCTGATCTGGCATCTCGTCTACAGTTGCTCTCTCACAGATGTGCCATCACCCCTCTGTCTTTTTTACAAATACTTTCATGGTAACTGCTCCGATGAGCTGCTTTCGCTAGTTCCCAGACTTCATGAATTTAAGCATTCTACTAGGCTGGTCTCTCACTCTCACTCTTTCATTGTTAAATGTAGCCGTCTCTTCTACTCCAATAGCTTCATGTCTCGCACCTCTTGCCTGTGGAACTCCCTCCCCTTTTCCTGTTTCCCCTGATAGCTATAATCTCCCACTATTCAAATGTAATGTCAATCGACATCTCCAAATGCCATGATCTATCCCATATCCTTCTCTTCATCCTTTCCTCTATCACTCAAACTCTCTGTAACCCCTTGCATGCTAGTAGATTCCCACCTTGCTTGGGGTGAAATGCTTAAGAAAAAAAAAAAAAAATTTCACCTCAAGCAAGGCAATAAAGCCACTAAGACATAAGGATTTACTAAGTTTGGAAGAATAAGAAAAAAGAGAATCATTATTGAGGAGTGAGAACAATAAATGAAGAGGAATCAAGTAGGCAGTATATAATTTTTGAAGATCACTGTTGGCTGGAAAGCATTAAGCTGGTAGATAGTTCCACAAGTGAGAAGTGTGAGAGAAGAAACTACTAGTATAGAACTTACGGTTGCATCTAACTAATTCAACTGTAAATTGTTGAGACCTTGTTGCCAATCTAGTATTGTGCTTAAATTCATAATGTCTAATTTCCATAGCGATAAGTTCATTAGAATAATTAACATGAAAGCATTTATAGAAAAGGTACAGGGAAGCTACATTATAATGTTGGAGAAGTGACTGAAACTGAAATGCTGGGCCAATAACATTACAGATTCTTCTTTGGATTTTATCAAGAATCACTAAATATATAGCAGGAGCACCAGACCATATGTGGCAGCAATATTCAAAGCATGGAGTAATGGTATTGTGAAAAAAAAAAAAAAGTTGGGTGACTTAGCAGAGGTTAGAGTGATGAGATTGATCGAGGAGTGGAATGGGGACTGGCTCCATGACTTGTGTCTTTAGGCATGGGTAACATGTCCATCTCCTCCTTTATAGCCTCCTACCAGAAGAGTGGGAGGGGGGACGGAGGCAATTACAATATTATAAAATGCACCCCCTCTTCATTCTTTTCTGCTTAACTGTGTATAACGGTTGTTAATTGTTGTTTATGTCTAGCGACTTAATTATTTTTAACCAGACCCAACTTCAGAGTGGATCACAAAGCTGTCGTTTTCCTTTACAATCTTAGTTTATTGGTAATTCCAACGCCAGTTTTTTTGAGAGATTCTGGCAAGAAAAATTGTCTTACACAACACAGTGGA